CGACCTCACCGGCGCCATCTTTGTCAAATACAGCCAAACACACCATCCACTGATGGCCATATTCCACACCATGAAATTCACATTGAAATAAACTGTTATACTCTCTATTAAGATTTAGAAGGCTCAACCTTCCCATTCCCTGTCACATACATACTAATCAAGAATCACCATTTACAGGACTTCATGTGACTTCATGTGATATATTCTGCCACAGTCATTTGTTCTTGTGTTAAGCTGTAGAAAGCACATTACACTGCATATAGCTGTAGATGGAAGGAAGGTCCTTCTCACACATTGCCTTGTCTCAGATAGCTATGCCTTCAGCCATGACTGGGACTGAAACTGACACAACTTGGGACCTCCATGGCCCTTCACCACACTGACATGGTGCTGGGTACCTCACCTAAGAACATCAGCTGCTAATTGCCAACATACAATAGCTAAAGATATGACCCCAGTAAAAGGAGGTGAGCTTCTCTAGCAGTCGAAAATGTTTCATACACTGATGCACAATTATCTCTTTGAAGAAATAAAGCACTGCATCGAACTCTAGCTGCCTCCAGGGCACAGCTGCATTTTCCCAACCTGTTCCTACAGCCTGTTTTTCAACTGGGACCTGGACTGGCAGTGACCTTCACCATCGTGTGGGTAGGTCGTTGTAGCTCTTCTTGACTGAGCCCAGCCCCAAGGCCTAAAGCCTAACCAGCCCAACCACCTCTTGAACTCCAAGCCTCAGCAACCCTGTCCCAGATTGGGTAACCTGTACCCACCTTTTGAATATCTTGCCCAGCTCAGGTGGTAGAGCAGGTAAGCTACTAACTGGAAGGTTGGCGGTTCAATCCCAGGCTCCACCAGTCTGCATGCCAAATATCCTTGGGAGAGATACTAACCCCATGCTGCTCTCTGATGCATTCATCGGAGTGTGAATGTGCATGAATGTTAGACAGGAAGCACTAAACAGTTTGAAAACGTGCTTGTATGATTGGGTGAATGAATTAGTTGTATAAAGCGCTTTGAGTGCTCAGACAGAGTAGAACAGCGCTATATAAGAAGCAGTCCATTTACCATACTTTGTGCTTAGCAGCTCTAATAAACTGCTAACTGATTGCATATATCTCACTCTGTTGACTTGTGAGCAGTAGAAACACATACCTCTTTGGCAAGTCTGCGAGCTTCATAATAAGGCCTTGCTTTGTCAATGCACGCACCGAGCTGGGAGCCCTGGGCATTGAGCTTCCTGGCAGAATCAGTCAGGATCCTCCTGTAGCTCGACCTGGCGTCCTGAGGGAGCACACGCATAAGATTGCACATTACATTACACACCGTGAGTCTTGACACAACTCACTGTGGCATCTGGGGCTGTGACAGGAAGACAGGAGTCAAGTGTACAAACACTTTGAGTAGGTTAAGCAGGCACCAGAGAAGGGAAAAAGGGGTTTATTGTTATATCCGTGACCTACATTCTAAGTTCTGTGATTGACATTCAATATATCGCTTAAAAAAAAAAAACCCTTTACTAAAACCTTCACCTCAGTTTAGAAACATAACATAGCTGCTAGCGTCCACGCAACACCTCGCAGATAATGGTCAGAGATGCACTTGCTTTTGAACCATGAGCATTTTAAATGTACTTCTGCTATGCTCATAGATTTTCTTTGGATAGGTTACTGGAATTGTTCAGCATCTGCACTCACAGAATTCAGATTAAGACACTGTGGAAGCAAAAAAGAAATATGTGGTCTGAAAGGTTCTGTAGTAGAGCTTTTCCTACCTTAAAATAAGAGAATTTCTAGTTTCTTATGAAAAAACAAGATCCAGCAGTAATCATAGCAGGCTTCATTTTAGCACTTCTTTAAATGTTTCTAATTAGTGTTTAATCAAGCAGTGATCACAGCTTCATAAATGGAACGCAGCTGGAGATTAAAATTATGCCTACGGGACAAAAAACGTACAAAATTACTTGGCAAGGCAAAACAGTTTCAAATGAATGTTATAATTGCTATGGTGTGCAAAGGGTATGTGGAGTTTCAGCCACTCAACCATGCAAGACTTCTGTCCCCCGATCTTTAATCTTTTCTTCACCCTTGCAACAACCATCTAAGTAAATGTGACAAATATGCAAAATATGAGACAAATAGAAGATCCATAAGTGGCCAGTGATATGCTATTCCTGTTGTTGTGGTGTACTGCGATGCCTCAGTAGTCAGCTGATTTATATAAGGGCTTTGACAGGAAGCTGTTCAGCCAGCTGACCACTGTTCTCGAGACGGTCAACCACCTGCTTCAGGCTGGTCAGCACTGTTCTCAGATCTTAAGGCAGTGCTGTTAGAGGGTCAGTCTCATTACAACTGATCTGTGAACAACTTAGGAAACGACTTTATGTAAGCTGTCACACTGCACATCCAATGATCTGTTTTTACACTGAATCATTGCAAAAGGCCTGCATGGATCTACAGATTGATATTAATTTCTTCGACACTCTGAGAGCAATTTGAGCACTTTGAAAAATCTGCAGTGAGTGTGTGCTCGTCATAGAAGGATCAACTACAGGATACCAAGAGGCACAAAGTGTTTGCAGATAAAGACAGACCACAAAGTCACTTGGCTGCTTAGACCACAGACTGGCTGCACAGCAATCATGAAAAGTTTAGAAACTTATTGAACATAAAATCTTGGGTTGTGAACACTGTTCATAAACCTGCTAATGCAATACTACCCATGTGAACTGAGATAACCCAGTTTGATGCTTTCTTCACAGCAAATAAGACAAGTCTCATTTGGATGAAACACGGTGTGCAAATAATGCTTTTAAAGATGCCAAGAATTTAAAATGAACTAAGGCTACGTCCACACGTACCCGGGTACTTTTGAAAACGCAGATTTTTCTGTGCGTTTGCACATATCGTCCACACGTAAACGGCGTTTTCGGTCACTGAAAACGGAGATTTTTAAAAACTCCGGCCAGGGTGGATATTTTTGAAAACTCAGTTTTTGCATTTACGTGTGGACGAGAAAAACGCAGAAAACGCAGCGTCAAAGGTGTGCGCCTTTTTTGACGTCACACTGTGTTTAAATGCTTACATACACACACAGTTACTGTCCCTCCACACATACGACTCGGTTCTGCTTCTATGCCGCAGCTTTGTTTACTTTTTCCCACCGAGGCTTCTAGACTTCTGATTGGCCAACATTTCTACACGGTTAGGAATCTAGCGCCACCTGCTGCTTTGGCATGTTCCTAGCAGAGTTTTCCTTCATTTCTGCCTTTATGTGTGGACGGGATTATTTTTTAAAACGAAAACGGAAAATCTCAGTTTTCAAAATACCCGTGTACGTGTGGACGTAGGCTAAGTAGAATGCAAAAACAGCAGTGCACTCTCACTGATGGCGTCCAATCTGACTTGCTGTGACAAAGTCTGCAAAAAAAAGAAAGCCTGAGAGAAAAGTCTTTACAACCCTAACACACACCGTCACGCAAACGCACACATTAGGGCTGGGTATCGTAACTCACTTCTAGAATCGATTCGATTCGATCCACAATTCGATCGACTCCATTTGAATCAGGGAAACTTTACCTCAGACAGTCAGAAATATTATAATTCTGATCACTTATCAGTTCATATCCATATTTTTATATCTACAAAAAGAAAGCTGACACTTGTGAGACTTTATCAAAGGTGTGAGCATCACAGCAGAGGCCTTTGTGTCAAAGTAACTGAGGATAAAACACAGAAAAACATGAAGGTGATTTTCGTGTCCTGTCTTCTTATAGCAGATAACCTTAATAATACTCTGCAGTAGAACAAAAACAGAAGAAAACCATGAATCAACATTTGAACATTACCTGATGCTGCTGAAGTGACGCAGAGCAAAGTTACAGAGGTTTTATTAGAGACACAGCTGCACAGATGCAATTTTGCATCATTTTAAAAACAGAACAGCAGAAATGAGGCTTTCTTGTCGAAAGTTAAATTTAAAAAGAAAAAAAACAGCAGCCGACAGCGCTGTGCATAACAGTAGACTTGTGCATAATAAGCACGCGAATAATGCAGAAAACAGAGATTTGAGATGGGAAACTGCTCTTGAAGTACACAGAGAGAGAGAGCTGTGCATGAAGTGTGATTTTATCGTGCTGGACGCAAAACAGCAAAAGTCAGAGGGAATTCATGACGATGTTTATGTGAAACGAGACGTGAAGCGTAGTTTGGATCTTCTTTTGCTGCTGGTTCAGTCAACTTTGTTTGGAGAGACAAAACTGTGAGCTGTCAGCTTTCAGCTTTCAGCCCCGATGGCGTGTCCATGTACGTGCCGTCGTGAGAAAGCCGACAGCTCACTGATTCTGATGCGTCAGCCTGTCCGCGCTTTGTGTTTACGTCTTTGTGCAGAATCTGTGTACTGCTCTCATTTACTGTTTTAACTGTTTGCTAGTTTAACACGAGATTCTGGCATTTCTGGCAAAATGAATTAATATTTAAAAATCAATTCAGGGTTTTAATGAATTGATATCACATTATTCAAGCTAGAATCGGAAAATCGATAATCAAAACCCACCCCTAGCACACACACTGAATTATTAAATGACATTTTTCTAGTTCTAGTTTGGCTGACCTAGGCTACTTGTAACTTCTTTTCATATCCAGAAAGAAAGAAAGAAAGAGGTGTCCAGAAGAGAAAAAGAGGGTAAAAGAGGGATGCAATGCTGACAGTCGTGGGGTCACAGCCGTGTTTTGGAACCATTCACCGGTGAGCTGGCACAGTGTAGGGGCTTGCTGCTATGATGCTTGTTAGCTTTCGGTCGCTCGTCGCCCTCCTTCCCTCCTGTGGTTAGCTTACTGGGGGGAACAGCACTGGCGTGGACTGAAGTCTTTTTTACGTTCTGACCCAAATGATGTTTTTTAGAATGAGTTGAAGAGGACTTTCACTGACTTCATGTCTGAGCAAACTTCCACAAGGAAATTATTAAATCTCCGCCAAGGTAACGCAGCACAATTTGTGGTCGAGTTCCGGACTGTGGCAGCCAAACCAGGTTGGCCCAAATAAATGTCTCAGCTGTTTTTCTTCAAGCTTTGAATGACCGGATGATTGATCAGTTAATGTCCGGTGACAAACCATGGTGTCCTTCTCTCTCAGAATTCACAATCTTTTAAAAGAGAGTAAGTAAAATGTATTTATATAGCACTTTTTAAGACAGAAATCTGTTACAAAGTGTTACAGGGGATAAAAAAAACATATCAGAGGGAAGCCAAAAAAATTACACGACCCCCAGAGCATCCGCCAAGGCCAGCTTAGCTTTGAGCCCATGGTAATATATTCTCCTTCGCTCAGCTCCTAATTCCTTGCCCTCTCCTTCAGAGCCCCAGCCTGAACACATTCAGATCAGGCATTGTAGGCTTGAGAGGCTAACCAGTGTGCAAGTATTTTTAATATGGTCACTCGGGACACTTTCTCACTTCCTGTCCTGTGCAGCCAAAGAGCCTGCCCACCTGTAGTTTTGGGCGTACCTGTTGGATTTGGAGGAGACAATCCGAAAAGGCCTGCAAATTGACCATTGATCTTGGCTCAGGTCCCCCTGGCCACCGCTATGTCCCCACAGCTGTTTGTTCTGCTGTGATTTACTTGGCTCAGACCGCCTACCTCGCCTGCCTGTACATCTAAGCTGTTTTTCTTCAAGCTTTGAATTCCACCTCGGGGTGAGCAGAACCATAAGTCTCCTCAGACGCCGTTTCTGGAGGGGCATGTTGGAGAAGGACATCAGGCAGTCTGTTGCAACATGTGCCACCTAAGCCTGAAGCAAACGTAGCACTCGACGCGCGTCAGCCAAAAATCTCAATAAAGGGATGGACAAGGCCAGTAATATCCTGGGGATGGAGTTGGACTCTAAGACGGTGATGGCGTGCTGGGTAGTCACAGGAGCACATCAGCATCAGCAGCATCAGTGAGACATAACCCTTAAAGACGGAGGAAATCAATTCTTGCTCCAGAGAGTATTAGGCCCCATATTAGACAACATCTGGGTCCTTTCTCATCCACGGTAAAATAAATTTTAATTTTAAAATGATCAAATTAATTTTTGATCATTTTCTGGTTTTTGATATCAAGTCTGTGACCCGCTCCTGTTTTGTTCATTTAAGAAATCGCCTCCTGATTAGATTATTGTAATGTTTTCTTCTCCTGTCTGTCAAAGTTTTCTTTAAATCACCTTCAAGTGGTCCAAAATGCTGCACCAAGGCTTTTAACCCACAGTCATAAATTCTCTCGTATCAGTCCATTGTTAAAGTTTCCGGCTGAGTGCAGCAGAAGCCAAATACATTTAATTTGTATAATATACTAGGTTATTTCTAATTGTGCTATTTGTATACATTACATTTATTTTGTTTGTTTTTTTCACTTTTTAATACATGTTATTGCTTAATTCAGTTACTTTTCTTCCTGTTTTGGAGCAACTGTGACCACATCATTTCCGCAGGCATTAATAAAGTGTTCTGATTCTCACTCAGGTAACCAGAAAACTGGCTGCTCGTTACATAGGTCCATACGAGATGGACTCAGTGATCAGCTGTCAGACTCAGGCCGCTCCCGATGCTATGCAGTCAACCCACTTTTCGTGTCTCACATATCAAGCCGGTGCAGTCCAGCACATTGCGCTCTCTGTGTTTCCAGTTTGCACACTTGGATCATCATTGGCTAAGCTCTATTAGGAACCAACTTCCTCTGATGCTGGTCATCCTCACTCACTCTCTGCTTGCCTGCAACTTACCTGTCAGTTGCTGCTGCCCTTACCTTTTGGCCTCCTGGAGTACTATGGATCTCACCTGCCTGGCCTCCTATTCGCTACCACGTACCTCCACTCTGGAAAAGGAGCAGACAGGTCGGACATCCTATTCCACTCATTGCATCACTCAGCCACTCACCCTGAGAACCACCCTGCCCTCTTTCCTTGCTTCGTCCTGCAAACCAGTAAGCCAACCTTCTTTACTCACCTTCACGCTCTGTGAATAACACATCGCTCTCTCTGTTGCAGTAGCTCTCGCTCACTTTGACCTTAGTGATCCCTGTGTTAAATAAAGTTTTTAAAAAAATGAAACGTCAACTTTCAGGTCCAACCAGTACACAGCAGCTGCTCGGCCTTGACTGACTGACAGACAATGCTCAAAGAGCAGTGGAGGAAAACAGAAGACAGTCACAACAGAGGCAGCAGCAGGTGTGTGTTTGTGTGAGGACAGTCAGAATATGCCCCAGTGAAAGCAAAAACAGAGCTGTTTTGGGTTTTTATATTTTCCATTTATCATTAGCCATTTCAAGCAGTATTATAATTGTTACGCTGTTCGGACTTTTTATTTTAGAGCGAGGCATAGTGCACTCTTCATGATGAAGCGTGTACAGTACATGCCCTCTATTTCCTTACACAAATGTGAATACATAAAACTGGATATTTAATCTTAATGTTTTTTTATTTGGCCTACACAGATGTAGAAATAATTACTACATATGTAGTCATTATTATATATTATAACAAAGGTTGGGGGACCAGCGGTCTGTAACACCGTAGTTCAGACCTGGTTAATACATGCTGAGGTGGGTGGTTGGTGATGGGTTTAGCTGTGGGCACGGTCAAAAAACAAACCTCGGGCCAGCACTGGCTTACCGGCCAGTCAAAAGCAGCAGGCAACGTTCTGAGAACAGCAGCAGGCTGCTGCCATTACTATGGGAGCAGCATACCACTGGCCACTTTTGGATCTCAGTACTCCTGAAGATCCAACATCCTGGAGTGGGTGTCCTGGCCAAGGGAACCAAAATGTCCCCCACTTCAGGAAACACAGTAAAGCCAGCCCTCACTATATACGAGGCATTACAGTAACAGAAACTGAGACCAAAGTCCTCTAAAAGCGATCTTCAGTGCCTGTATGAATGGGTGTGAATATGACATGTTGCATAAAGCACTTTGAGTGCTTGAGTAGGTTAGAAAAGCACTATAACCAGTCCATTCACCACATATTGTGTGTGTGCAGGAGACCAGATGGGATGGAAGCAAGGACAAGAGATTAAACGTGGATATGGATAGGGTTAGTGTGGAAGTGCATGAAAACAGTCCTGTGGATATTAAGAGAGTGTCAGACAGCATCATGAGGGGTGATGTTGAATGTTTTCAGTGCGTATGCCCAACAGGTTGGATTTCAGTTAGAAGAGAAAGGAATTTGGAAGTGAGATGGATGAATGGGTGGAGTGTGTCTTCAAGACTGAGAGATTTGTGATTGAAGCAGACTTGAGTGGACTGGGAGATGAAGGTAACACAACTGATGAGGAGGTGTTGGATTGGAGAGTGATGCAGAAGGACAGATGGCAGTGGATTTTGCCAAAAGGATGGAAATAATGGCTGCGGTGAACACTTGATTCAAGAAGAGGGGGGAACATGGGATGATCTATAAGGAGGAGGATACTACACGTTGGACTACATCAGGGGTCCCCAATCCCGGTCCACGAGGGCCAGTGTCCCTGCAGGTTTTAGATGTGTCCTTGATCCATCACAGCTGATTTAAATGGATACATTACCTTCTCAACGTGTCTTGGAGTTCTGCAGAAGCCTGGTAATGAACTAATCATGTGATTCAGGTGTGTTGACACCGGCCCTCGTGGACTGGGACTGAGGACCCCTGGACTACATCCTATGGAGAAGGTGCAATCTGAAAGAGAAGATTGCTAGATGGAGAATGTACCTAGGAAGCATCAAATGTTAGTCTGCAGGATGACTTTGGTCATCAAGAAGTGGAAGCGAGTGAAGGCAGAGGCAAGGAATAAATGGTGGAAGCTGAGGAAAAATGAACGTTGCAGAGATTTCAGGGAAGAGTTAACAGATGACTGGGTAAGTACAGAATGAAGAAAAACAGAGAAACAGACAGGGGAACATTAGTGAGTAAAAGCCTAATGAAATGTTTTCCTTGTGCTTCACAGTGTTAATATATGGAAACCTGTTTGCACAGACTGAGTGACTCTTTGAGCATGGATACTGCTGATTTCAAGTAAAATGTATTCTTCATATTTATCATTTATTTCATGATATATTATATCTTTAGTGTTGGGTAATGTTGAAATTACATTCACCTTAAGATCGCTTTTACTTTGCAATGGGGTCTCGGGTTTTGTTACCCTAATGTACGAACAAAACGCAAAACTACGTGGGGGCTGGGGTGTCCGCAGGTTTACTGTGACCTCCTCACATCCAGCTGCAGCTCCAGCTTGTTGATCTCTTCGCTAGCTTGGTTGAGGTGCTCCAGCTCCTCCTGGAAACACACGGGAAAGACGACGTGTTTTAAAAGCAGAATACAACCAGACAGCTGGAAATATTGTTAGACAGGAGATGGGGTTGACCCAGGCGTCGGTCTGTGTCAGGAGCAGATCGTTGCCATGCACGGTCGGCGTTTATCGTAGTTTTGTTTGGCTCGGGAAATATGACGCATTTGCTAATGCGGGGAGGGAAACGGTTCTTTAGCAACATACCTGAATTCTTGGGTCCAATTCCTCCTCGTATTCCTCTCCGTTTTTAATCTGGCTGTTAGACTCTCCATCATTCCCACAGTCCGCTCCCACTTGCTTTCTCATCGTGGTTCTGCCGTCTCCGCCTTTCGCCTCTTCTCCCGGCGTCTCCTCCCGCAGACCGGCCGGGTTGGGGCTTCCTGCACGCTTCAGAGTTTCACGCGAGGTCCCAGGCTCCATGGGCGGCCCAGTCGTTCGGCTGCTGTGATATTTATTTAACCTCCCGGTACAATAATGTGTCAGTGTTTAGGGCAGTGGAAGGTCGCCCCGCGTGTACTCATACTTTGAGTACGAGTATGTGTACAAACTAGTGATGGGATTTCCGGATCTTTTTAGAGAACCGGCTCTTTCGGCTCGACTCACTAAAAAGACCCGGCTCTTTCGGCTCCCAACCGGCTCTTTAGGTTGTTTTGTTGCTTTAATGAATTTATTATTAACAACAATATAAAATTATGCACAAAATGAATTACTAATGTAAAAAAAAGTGGTTTTATTTATATATGTTTATATATAAATATATGCGGTGGCCCCTAGAGACAAAGCATGTACAAACTACAAAACACATTTCTAGCGTTAACTGAACTTCCAAAACAGAGCTACCTAGATCACTTAAATTACACAATTGAAAGCATAAGTGTATTGTTTGTGTATTTATACACATGCACTCATATATATTCAAATAATTTAAAAAAATGTTCATTTACCTGTTACTACCACACACCAAATCCGGTCGCTGGTACTTGCTGGCTTGCATAGCCAGTAGGTAACAAAAGCTCAACACTGCGCCTAGCATCCTGGAGCACTTCTGTTGTCTTTTGTACGCGTTTTGGAGTTTGTACGTGCTTCGGGGTTTTTACGTGCTTCAGAGTTCGGACGTGCTTTGTCTCTAGGGGCCACCGTAAATATACTTTTATTTATTTACTCCACACAAGGCTCGTGTGCAGAGTGAAGCGGAAAAAAGTGAGAGAAGGAAAAAAAAAACAAAAAACCCCACGGCTCGCGATAAGGAGTCGGCTCTAAGAGCCATTTCGTTCGCGACCGACACATTACTAGTACAAACCAGCGCCTGACTAACGGTAGGCCAGCCAGTCACATTGCACCGACTATGGCACCCCACTACAGCCCACTCTTCCTTCTCCTGGTTTAATTCTTTTCACAATCACAGTAATTTTTTAAAAATTACATTTGTATCATGATATTTAATATACATAGATATAATACTGGGTTAAATGTAACTTGGCTAACAATCTTTTGCGGGTTCAGAACCTGCAGTGAATACTGCAGATGGTGGGCTGCATTATATTTATAACACATGATGTTTATTACTCACGTGTTCATGTGGAGTTAAATCAGATGTCATTTAACTGTACATCCTTTTATAGATCTTTTTAAGTTTCCATTGTAGCTCAAACATACAGGGGTCCAATAAGACAAAGCGTGTCTGGAAAGGGCGAAAAATTAAGAAAAAATACCAATCTAATGTAATATCAGACTATAAATTAATGAAAACCGTTCATGGGCCCTTATATATGCCACGTAATCATCAGATTCTCCCTGAACAAACTTAAACCTTTAGATCAGATTGGGGCCATCATAGCCCTCTTTGTCAAATATCACCTTTCCTCAGAACATGGAAATTTGCTTTTGATTTGAAATTTGCTGTACACAAGTACAGCTTATTCTGATATGTCACCACTTTGCCAAAATCAGGAAGAAGACCTAAATTGTCATTCTCAGATGAGAGGAAAATAGTTTGGATGCTCAAGAGCAACTCAGGAACCACTAAGGCTCAATCCTGCCATGAACTGGAAACTGCTGAACACCAGCATCACTTTCTATAGTGAAGTCAGTTTTGCATCAACATGGACTGAGGCTACCAATCAAGAACAAAGCCTTCCCAAAACCCCAGACTTTGACCCCATAGAAAATTTGTGGGCTAAGTTTAAAAGCAGAGAGAAAACCAACTAATTTAAAGAACTCAACCAATTCTGCCAAGAAGGGTTGTCCAATATCCAGAGGTGCCTGTGTGTATACTTTTGACTGTGTGGATGAGAGAAAATTCAAACACCTCATTCTTGTTTTTGAGTCACTGAAGATGTATGCTGTACAGTCATTCCCACACTGCAAAAGAAACTATTAAAAGACAAACGTTACCATGATATTCTTGCTCATGAGTGCATTTTAACTTCTCATCAATTTCATTTACTCATACACACACATATCTACACGGTGTTTTTATCTATGCCTAGGCTCCTCTAACATTTTCATTCAATCACACTCACTAACTGGCACTATGGTGAACACACTGAAGGAAACTCAGGAGTTGCGATCCTCCTCAGGGAAGCGGGCTGGAGGGATCCATCAACCTTCCAACTGGTCCATGGCCTGGTCTAGCAAAATTCTAGTTAATCCTATTTGCTACTTCAAACTGGGAGCTACCACTACTGTCATCTACTATATTTTACTGAATATTGATGAGTACTTCAAACAGCAATTACTTAAAAGACACCATACTGTCCCGGTTAGACTTCCACAGTCACAAAAAAAGCTGCTCTAGTGGCAATATCAACATAAAGATAAGTGTCTGTTGTTTCAAGCAGGTATTATGTGAAGTTAATTCAAAACATTATTGTGAAAATATAATTCAACAACTTTTATTCTGAACTCAAAAATATAAGAAGCCACAATCCTTATCCAGTGTGTACAGGGTGTCTTTGAGCCATGCACTTAGTTTTCAGGTCACAACACCAAACAGATCAATTAATAAAGTTGGCTTCTTACAAATTAATCTTCTGAGTTTGGTTCCATTATTGCTGTCAGCTTTTTCACTGTAACTCCACCAGTTATACGATTATTTACAGTGGATGTTCCACAGTACTTTGTAGTACTTAGAGTCCAAAGGGTGTCTTCGAGAACTCAGTAATCAAAACCTGATTCTGAGTATAGGATACACACAGCTACTCAAAAAGGAAAGCATGAGCAGAAACTGTTCAGTTTAATACTCAGATGCTAGAATGTTATAAAAAATACAAAGTCATCTTCACTTTCCTGTCGTACTAACAACGGTGATGGTAGTGGAAAGCAAGAAAAGCCACATTTCTCCTCCTCCGTTTACGTGTGAGATCGCTGACGTTTCCAGAACCTCTTGACCTCGCTGTGTCCCTGTGGTGTCACCACCATCACTCTGTGGGCCACATCCTGCCACACCAGACAGCCCAGGCCCTGCACCAGAACACCTTTGTTAGACACCAGCAGGCTACAAAGACAGTCTTGGCATTTGATGAACAGAAAAGTCATTAAAAAGATGTCCAACTGCTGTAACTACATGTCGATCGCATGGAATTATATGAATACATACAGTGAAAATATGGCACAACGTCACTGGCTCTTGTGCTGTAACACCAATACAGGAGTTATGTTTAAGAAAATTTGTACTATTACAACTTGTTACGTTTTGTTGTACACCAGGACGTGCCATTATGAAGACATTATGAGCGTCTTGGAGCAGCAGGTACAAGCAATGCTGGAGACCTCAAAATCAAAGTAGCATATCCTAACTGACTAAGGATCCTTAAAAACATTACACAGTATATTAATCTGTTATGATTCTGGTATTAATATAAAAACAAACCAACCTGAGCTCTGTCTCGCAGAACCTCGAAGTCAGCCTGGGAGAGGAACTGGTTATAGAGCACGCCTGAAGGGGGGGGGACACACACACACACACGCGGACACACACACACACACACACACACACACACACACACACACACCATCAGTTCTCTTCCTCTCTATCATAGTGTAGAGTTCATGCAATGAGAGTTACAGCTCAGCTATTTTGAAAGGTCTCTGTGAGCAGTGAGTCCAGCATCACCAGGAAGAATCAAATGATGGTTCACAGACATTACATAGAGCGCCAAGGAACCACTCACTGATAAAAGTGCATGTACACAGTCTGCTGTTCATTGCCACTTCATTAGATACACCTGTTACTTGTAAAGGCATATGACTAATCACTGAATCACATGGCTGCGACACAATGCATTTAGGCAACTAGGCATCATCAAGATGACCTGCTGAAGTGTGAACTGGGCATCCTCAGAAAGAAGAAGAAGAAAGAACAGTGGATTAAAATAGCCTGACTGTTGGGATTGTCCTACACAAGCAATCTCATTTACAAAGAGCAGTCCAAAAAGGAGGAAACATTGAGTGAGCGACAGTTTGCAGGGAGATGTTTCACATCTAACAGGGAGGGCGGGTATTTTTCACCTTTACCACAAACTGAAAACAATATGTGAGAGCAGCAGACTACTTGTTAGCATGGCACGATTACTGATGCACGCCTGTAATTAGCACAGTGGATATGTACATTACAACAAATTTATGAAGACAAGAAATAAACAAGAAGTGTTAAGTGTTGTTTTGAACACACACACTTGATAAACATGCTCACCCTCTGTGAACTGCAGGCGATCTCTCTCCAGCTCCCACAGTCTGATCTGGTCTGTTATAGTTGGAGGCAGCACCGGGGTCTAAAAGCACAACAGAGGATGAGGATACTTTGCAGAGCGATTAACCTGTTCATTATTCATTTTACTAGACTGAACTGCAAAAAGAATCAATGCTGTACCCGAGTGAGCATGACAGGGTGAGCTCTGGTCCTCAGAAAATGGATAATCTGAACAGAAGAGAACACAAAATGTAAAAACTCAGCTCTGGAGCTCTGGAGCCGGTCGCCTTCAGAGGGACTAGACTCTGTCCCAGTCTGGACTTATCCACAGCGGGTGGGTATACTTGCACCGGCCCGGTTTGCTGTGGCATTTTGGATTTAAATAAATTGCCCGTGATTGTAAATGTAAGTTTTCTCTGTGGCCTGTCCGGGGTGTGCGCCGCTTCGCTGCTCTGGATTCAGGTGTGCGTTAACACAAAATCAAGTAGGGAAGACATGTGATCCTGAAGTTGTTGCTGAAAAGTATTACTAAAAGTTTCCAAAGAGGAAATCAAAGGTTTATGTGAGCCAATTCTTTCACACATTTACTGAGTGTTCACTTTCTACTGTAACATCAGGCCATGTGACGAAGGTTACAGCTCTGTGGTGGCAATGCATATGGGAGTGCAAGTCTAATGTTCTGTCATAATTACTTTCTGTGTTTGTTCCAATCTGTCTAATGTTCACAATTTGTGTTTTTGCTGCGGCTCCATCAGTACAGGGGATTGGAGGATGGGAAAGATGAGAACTGAATTTTTAGTGTGTAAGTAAGCCCAGTGCAGCAGTACCTGCTGTGCAGTGATCCCGTTGGCGATAGCCTGTTGCACAGACTCCCTTGTCAGCTGAGCCACAACTACATTGGGGAAGCGGTAGAGCATTTCACT